AGAGGAGAAGAGAGAGGAAGATTCTAGGGCTGAGAGAGAGAGAGAAGGTGTGTGTGGAGATCAGTGATAGGGGAAGATAGAATAAGGCAGGTTATGGTTTTTGGGGAAGGGATAAGTAGCTTTCATCGGGTTTGTTTTTTTTTCCACTAGTTTTACCACTTTTTTGGAGCCCCCACATTCTAGTATCTCGGCTTCCATTGGGTTGGGGTATGGAAGCTGGCTATTTGGGGCTTCTTTTGGGGGCAGTATTTCCATATGCTGCAGTACTGTAGCACTTCCGCGTGCCAACAGGGAAGTGTTCCTGTTTGGTGAAACTTGTGGCTACTAGAGTCGAAATTTCCACCAAACAAGCACTCCCGTAGTTCGTCACATACATATGTTTCCAAATTTTATGCATTTAAGTTAAACAAGATAACTATATCATATGTATACATGACACATTTTATAGTAAAGCATCCACACGACGTGGACGCTCAATTGGTGCACAACACCCTCCAGGGGTTCAGGGAAGAAAATGGACGACCATAATTGCATTTAGTATTTTAATTTCAAATTTTCCCCACGTATTAGATTGACTTCAAATTTTGGAGGTTTGCACCATACTTAGGCAGATCTAAAATAATCTAATAAATAATTCAAAAAATAAATTGAACAATATGCTCCTAAATGTTTCAAGGGTATTTTGGTGAAATGATTTTTTTTTTACAGATTCTTATTTTAAATTTTTAGGTCCGCTTGATTGAGAAGTGTCATCATCAGAGCCTTTTCCCCAATATTTGGGATCGGTTGTACAAATCTTGGTTCGCTATTCTGCTGTATCAAGGACCATACCCTTAGTGAGGCCATAAGTCCCCAGATCTTTTTTCTCTACTTTCAACCATGTTCTTTTGGGCTTACCCCTCGCCCTTTTTGAGCCTTCTACTTGGACCAACTCGCACCTCCTAATAGGTGTTGTACTGGGTCTGCTGCACATGGCCAATCCACCTAAGTCTACTTTCTCCCAGTTTCTGTCTTTTGGAGCCATAGCTAAGTTCTTCCTAATGTATTCATTTAGAATTCTATCCCTTCTTGTCTTGCCACTTATCCATCTCAACATCCTCATCTCTGCTACAATCATCTTATGGGTATTGTTATTTCTTGACCGCCCAACATTTCGCCCTATAAAGTAAAACTGGTGTCACAACTGTCCTATAAAACGTCCCTTCAGCCTCATTGTCATTGATATGCAACGATCACATAAAACTCCAGTTGCACATCTCCACTTCGCCCATCCGGCTTTAATTCTTGATTGAGAAGTGTGCGAACGCCAAATTTCAAGTTAATCTAATTGGTATAAACAATCAAATTAAAGTACTAAATAAAATCGTGGTTGTCCATTTTATTCCTTTCTAATATGAATTGTTTTAGGGTGCTTGTTCACCATTTGTGTCCACATATTGTCAATACTATGCTCTCTTTCAAAATTAAGCTAGTAGTATTAATGATAGTTTTGGAAGCAAAGCTTATATATTACATTGAAATTGGACATTGAATATATGATATCTTCTATTCTTGCTTTTCTTTTAATTATTTAAGTTAGTAACTGTGGGTTGCCAATATATAAAAAGCGGTGGGCGGTGCCTAGGCGGCCAAGGGGGGGCTGGCTGTAGGGCATGATGTGAGTGCCTAGGCGGTGCCTCAGGCTTGGGTGCCCTAGCCTTAGAAATATGCATGCATATGTATATAGAACATGTTGTATGCATATATATTATCTATTATATGTAATAAATTATATTTCTGTGTAATCAATTACATTAAAAATTTGAATAACGGGAAATATACAAAGTTTGAAAATAATTTGATAACTGTTAAATCACTTAACACATCGAACCCAACCAAAAAGACATTTTGAAAGATCTTAAATACAAAGAAATTTAACAAAAGCTCACTGACCTTTGTTGTATTACCTCTGATTCTCTATGTTTCAGATGAATCTTGAGCTTTAAATCATCCAAAATCTCCTCTTGTAACCTCTCTTAGTATTTCATGAACGATCTTCCAAAAAAGGTTTGATTTGATTTGATTTCTCAAAGACAATTGCTTTTCAATCTTAAAAAAGAAAATATGAATTTTTTTATTTCTTTTTCACAAAAAAGAGGAAAAAGTCTAGGGAGCAACAGGTGGGAGGGGGCCTGGGATAACCCCCAATGTCTTCTCCAAAGCCTCTTGCCCTTTATATGGGTGGAAGGATAAAAATGCTGCATTTTGGGCAACTGTGGTGGGAGTCTCTGCTGAGATGCTAGATGCCTGTGGTGCACTCTGAGGTGCGGTCTACGCACTTGGGGCGGGTGCTTTTTGACACATTGTGTGAGCCGTTAACCACAGACCACGTAGTAAACTTAAAGTCAAGATTAACTAATAAAAGACTGAAAGTAGGTCTTTTTTTTTTTTTCATTCTAAGAAAAAACTGAAAATAGGTTTTTAAATGTTCTTGTTAGCTAGAATATCAGTCACTAAGTTTCTCTTTGACATATGGAACATAATATAAGAAAACAGTCGATTAACTGTATATATTGTCTTTCTTTTTTTGTTAGAGAATGTACCACATTATCCTCATTCTCAAAAAATAAGTGTACCACATTATCCTTTATAAGGATGGGATCTAGATTAATTATACTTTATCAATTTTATTGCTCAAAGTAATTTTTTATTTATTCTCCAAATTTTCTTAGACTCATATACATGTGTGTGTTTGTGTAGGGGAGTGATTTAGGCAATGGTTTAATAGTAAAATAGTTAAACGACTCCTTCAAAAACCAAACATACATACATATCTGTGTGTGCGAGCGTGTTTGCACACGTGATCGTGCATGCATGCGTGTCTTCAGAGTGATTTCATGGCAAGGGTTTAATCATAATATAATTCAATGACTACTTCCAAGACCATGTGTGTGTGTGTGCGCGCCTTCAAAGTGATTTCATGGCAAGGGTTTAATCATAATATAATGCAATGACTTCTTCAAAGACCATGTTAGGGGCATTTGTTCACTAAAACATTTTGTACACACTCTCTTCACCATAAAGATCAATCTCAAAAAATTAAAAATTTTAAAAAGCACCAACAGGGAGGGCATTCAGTTAGATCAGGGCCATAAAGGGATTTTTTCGAACCCCAAATTTTGTTAATAACCTTATAATCTATAAAAGAACAATTTAGAAAAGAAAAAATTGATTTTGAGTCTTAAGGTCTAGATGTAAATATCCACCAAATGGATAGTTTGTACCAGTGTTTAAAAATTGCCGATCCGATCCGGAATTGGGCGATCGGGATCGGATATCGGTGATACCGCTCCGAATCCAAAAAAATAAAACGGGATCCAAACGGTTACATCTTTTTTGACTTTTTTTATTGAAACACTCGCTGCACGTTTGACTTTTTTATTGAAAAATCGCTGCACAGCACGGTAAGGTGCCTCAATAATGCCTCACTAGCTGTGTCATTGGCCCAAGCGCAAATATAACTCCTTTAAGTTATCTTGTCTCTGTTTTATAACCCCTTCCACCCCTTCACCTCCCGTACTTCCACGATGTGAGATATATATTACATAACAAATGAGCGGGATTCTCGCCTCCCCAACTCTCGCACTCTCTCTGTCCACCAAACTCTTTCACGCCAACATGGTCTCTCTCGCGATTTGGTCAATTGGACAACGCCTCCATAATTACCAAAAAAAAAAAAAAAAAAAACTCCACCAAAACTCTCTCTAGAACCGGTGAAGTGTGTATAGCTATTTGAAAAGAAAAAAAATAGTACTAGCTCATAGGATATTAGAACAATAAAAAATAATATTAATACTAGTTTATTGACCATTAAAAAAAATTACTAGTTTATGAGGCATTTTAAGAGAAAAAAAATAACACTAGCCCAAACCACTTTAAAATCTATTTTAAAGTTGCGTTGTCAATTATCCCGTATTGCTAGTATGATAGTTATTTGTTTTTCTAATTTTGTTATAAAATAATTACAAATTTACGTTTCTAAATTCTATACTTTTATAGATATATTTATTTGTAAGGGTCACAATTTTGTTTATTACAATATTATAATTGATAATATACATTGATAACCAAATCTTGTATTTTATTTATTTATTTATTTACATTATAAATTATATAATGTATTATTTTTATAATAGCTGTAACTAATTTTTTTAAAAAATTAGATGATATTATCAGACAAATTTTAAATTTATTCATATAGGGAAAGAACATCTCAATATTCGCATATTGATAAAAAAAATGAAAGTTCTTAATGTAGTACCCCCATTTTTTATTGGATTCCTAAAAAGCAACATTTATAATGATTTTTAATAATTTTTTTGGAATTTTTTGAAGGCCGAATTCGATAGATTTGACCAACTCCCGATCCAAAACGCCGATTCACCGATTCGGATGGGTTTTTGGGGTGCCCGATCCGGAGCACCGATCTGTTTTTTAAACCACTGTACATTGTTGGTTTGGGACTCCTCTGGACCTTTTTTCTTTGCATATCTGAAAGTGTAAGCTGACTTTTTCCTTTGCTCATATTTTCCCTTATAGCTAATCTAAGTAGGCTGTCTAATGTTGGAAGAAAAATATTTCCTTCATGTTTTGATAAAATTTATCGTTGTAATCTCTAGTAAAGAAGTGCTATTGATGGTAGATGAATGGCAGGTAACTAGGATGTTTGGTGTTGATGAAGAATTCGGTGAGGATGCAATCTTGGGAAAGCTTGAAGGCATGAAAGATGTGATTGAACAAGTCAACAGACAGTTCCGTAATCCAGTAAGATCAAAGCATTTCAATTCTTATATTTTTTTTTGTGACTAATAAAACCTTTTTAGTTATCAAAAGAAGATGAAACATTTGAACCAATGTCCCAGGACTCGCCTCGGCCAAGTTACTTTCCCCTTAGCCGAGTGAATTACAGGGGCGAGTCCAAGTAACTCGCCCAAGTCCAGTCCGAATAAAGAAAATAAAAAGAAAAACAAAATAAATAGTACAAATTATATGACATGCCCGTTTCTCAAAAAAAAAAAAATTATATGACATGCTCAATAATTACAACTACCTTGATTGGGCATCTTGGTTAGACGCCATGGTCCCTTAAGATGAGGTTGAGGGATCAACATACATCATCTGCATTATTTTCAACTGCTTTAAAAGAAAGGGCTGTATGTTCTCCTAAATAAATGACATGCCTCATTTCTTACAACTAGCTTAAACGGGTGTCTTGGTTAGACAGTGTGGCTCCTTTACATGAGGTTTGAGGGATCGAACCACAACATCTGGATTATTTTTGAACTCCGTAAAACATTATTTTCTTTGAAGGGACTCGAACCTCCAACATGAGGCTCAAAAGCGATCAATGCTAGCCAAAACACTTTCTGAGCATTCTCATATTAAAATAGACGTATTATTTATATTATAAAAAAGGGCTATATGTCCTCTAAAATTAAGGACGAGCCTAGAACGCTAGGCATTAAGAGAGGGCGGTGTTCTATTGGGTCGAACCTCCACCATGAGCCCAAGAACTTTAAATATTAACCAAGAACAGAACCTATCCGAACATTTTCAAATGAAATTGGACATAATATTATCTATATACTATACAATCATGAGTGTACAATGTACAAGGTAGAAACTCGCTTTGCAGTTGAATTATTTCCCTGCTCTTCTTCCTATCCTAGTCATCACATGATTTTGAGTGTCTTTTACAGGACTTGACGACCTTTGTTTGTGTTTGCATTCCGGAGTTTCTCTCACTATATGAGACAGAGAGGTTGGTGCAAGAGCTTGCGAAATTTGAGATTGACACCCACAATATCATCATTAATCAAGTCCTCTTTGATGAAGAAGGTAGATGTTATTTTTTAGTCCTTCACTGAAAGATGCATTAATCGGAAATATCCTTTGATGGTGCTTTTCTACTTTCCTTTTTTTGTATTTCTAGGAACATCATAAACAGTAGTCATAATTGGATTTCAATGAATAAACTGCATTGAATTGTATGGATAGACTTGAGTATTAATTGCAACCGAAACTTCATAATTGGATTTCAATGAATAAAGTGCATTGAATTGTATATATAGACTTGAGTATTAATTGCAACTGAAACTTTAACTTTCTCTGACAAGACTGTTTATTTAGTTTATAGCTATCTTTCTTCGTATGGTCTTTTAGATGCTTCTTTTGTTCTTTTGTCTTCGTGATAGGCTATTGGGTAGTTACAATTCGTCTCTCTTCTAAACTAACCGGCAGTCCGGCACAGACAACAAAAATAATATGTTCCACAAGGTTTCCAAAATCTGTCGTATTAGTATGTGATCATTTATTGCTATTTCTTGGAAATAACTGAACCAATCCTAGAAGGATTTAATGACCGAAACCTTGTTCCATTGACCTGCAACTTGTAACCATGTCTCTGATGTAATGCTTTATTTAGGTCATCATCTTCCAAAAATCTCTCTAAAGTAATAGTGATATTCTTTTTTGTGATTCCTTTTTTTATCATTTATTTTTAAGATTTGAATTTCTTTTCTACAATTTCTCCTACCAATTCCGGTACTCAATGTAGATAGGAGGGAGTATACCACGGTGTCTGTGTATAGTATATGAAGTTGCTCAATTGCTTCTGTAAAGCGAACCTCTATTCTGAAACTGGTGTTGCCTAATATAGAAAAGTAAATGGTTAAATGTATAGGAAATTAGATATGGGTGACGTGTTTTTTTAATGATTTCTAGATGTGATTTTCGAAAGAACTTAAGGGTATGGCTGCTACTTCTAATAGATGTTGAATCCAAGCTGTTGAAAGCGCGAATGAAGATGCAAAAGAAATATCTGGATCAATTCTATATGTTATATGAGGACTTCAACATCACTTTGCTACCCCTGCTTCCTGAGGAGGTAAGTAACCAGGGACCATATATTGTACTTGTTAAGGGTATTATACTATTGGTAACTCATACTCAAACGTCCACCATATATACTCATACCTAGATGGTAGACACGAGCAACAGTCCCCTCTTAAAAACAATGGCTGCCTTAAATAACTCATCTCCACTGTCTGTGGGTATTGTTTGTGAGTACCCAATACTAGTACAAAATGTCCCAAGTCTAGGCCTAGGACTGGTTAGAGAGAGAGAGAGAGAGAGAGAGAGAGAGCTAACTGAACTGAACTGAGGTCTATA